CACTTCTTTTTTTTTAATTAATTAATTAATTAATTAATTTGAGAGCTAGAGTTACAGAGAGTGAGAGGGAGAGCGAGAGAGAGAGAGAGAGAGGCCTTTTTTCCGTTGGTTCACTCCCCAGATGGCCGCAACGCCTGGAGCTGTGCCTATCCGAAGCCAGGACTGAGAAGCCAAGTGCTTCTTCCTGGTCTCCGTCATGGGTGCAGGGGCCCAAGGACTTGGGCCATCTTCTACTGTTTTCCCAGAGCATAGCAGAGAGCTGGATTGGAAGTGGAACAGCCGGGACTAGAACCGGCGGCCATATGGGATGCCAGCACTGCAGGCAGAGGATTAACCTACTGCCGGCCCCTGGCTGCTTCACTTCTATAGAGCTGCCTGCGAATGTACCTGGGAAAGCAGCAGTAGATGGCCTAAGTGCTTGGGACCCTGTACCTATGTGGGAGACCCAAAAGAGGCTCCTGGCTTCTGCCCGGCCCAGCGCTGGCCATTATAGACATTTGGAGAATGAACCAGTGGATGGAAAATCTCTCTCGCTCTCACTTTGCCTTTCAAATAAAAAAACTTGAAAAGAAAAGCAACTGTGTGTTTAAAAGATCAGGTTGACAGTTATTTTCACTCTTGAAAAATGTTTTCCCACATCCTTCTGACCTCAATGCTTTCAGATAGGAAATCTATTTATATTACATAATTGTTCCCATAGATAATGTGTCATCTTTGTAGTTGCTTTTGTGAATTTTTCTTTGACTTTACTTTTCTTAAATTTGATTATGCTTAGTATATATTTCTTTCGGTTTTTCTTGCTTTGGATTCTTATAGTTTCTTGAATCTGTACATGTATGTCTTTTGCCAAATTAGGGAAATTTTCAGCCTATTTCTTCACATACTTTTCCAGCCCCATTTACTTTCTGGAACTCTGATAGTGTGAATGGATGAAGCTCGGTTCATCTTTTTCTATTCTACTTTCTGTTGTTTGCATTGGTTAATTTCTATCGTTCCAGTTTCAGATTCTCTAATTCTTTACTCTGGCCACTGTTGAGCCTATCCTGTATTTTCCTTACTGATTATACAGTTGTAAAGTTTTTACATTTGTATTTGTTTCATTTGTTTCAAGTGTGCTCATCCTTGCTAATTAAAGCATGTTTTGGTTAATTTCAATTCAATATCTGTGTAATTTTAGCGTTACTATCTGCCAATTGTCTTTTCTCATTCATGTTGAAAATTTCCCTGCTTCTTGCTTTGCTTTTTTCATTGGTGCTTTTTTCATTGGATCCTGGACATTTGAAGTATCATGTTATGAATCTCTGGATCTTATTTAAATCTTCTATTTTAGCAGCCCACCACTGGAACCACACTGATGGTGGAAGAAGTGGTGCTGAACTTGGTTACTGCTGGGTCAGGGTGGCAGTTCAGAAATTCTGGCTGCTGACAGGAGAGGGTATTATTTTCTGTGATGCCTGCTTTCTCTCTAGGCTGACACTTTGGCTAGAGATATTAGGCTTTTCTTGGGTCATTTTGTTTCCATCTGTGGCCATTTGTGTCCATTTGTGTTTTTTTTTTTTTTTTTTAACCTGCTGGTTTCTTCATCATCCATCCCAGGATATAGAGGAGCCAGAAAGAAAACCCAGGGAACTCACAGTCAGGTTGATCCTCAGTTCTCAAGGTTCCTAACCAGACTGTCTGCTCTCCACACTCTAGACTCTTCTTTGTCTTACATATCTTGTTTGGGGCGGCAGGGTGTTGGTAAATAAACTTTGTGGAAACAGTATGAAATACATCTAGTCTATCTTGTGTGGAACCAGAAATCAGTCCATCTGCAAACTGGTTTTTATTAAACTAAATTACAGGGGGCCAGCGCTGTGGCGAGTTAAAGCCCTGGCCTGAAGCGCTGGCATCCCATATGGGCGCCAGTTCTAGTACCGGCTGCTCCACTTCTGATCCAGCTCTCTGCTATGGCCTGGGAAAGCAGTAGAAGAAGGCCCAAGTCCTTGGGCCCCTGCACCCACGTGGGAGACCCGGAAGAAGCTCCTGGCTCCTGGCTTCAGATTGGCGCATCTGGGGAATGAACCAGCAGATGGAAGACCTCTCTCTCTGTCTCTGCCTCTCTCTGTAGCTCTGTCTTTCAAATAAATAAAATAAATCTTTTTAAAAAATATATAAACTAAATTATACTGAAACTTGACGTGGTGGATCTAAGCCATATTCGCAGAATATTAGAGATTCAAAGAATAGCTTTTAAGGCAGTTGTGAAATCAGCTTATTGCTTATTGTGAATTCTCATGGCACATTTTTTTCTAATTATTTTATTTGAAAGAGTTCCACAGGGGCCGGCACCGTGGCACAGTAGGTCAATTCTCCACCTGTGGCCACAGCATCCCATATGGGCACTGGTTCTAGTCCAGGCTGCTCCTCTTCCAATCCAGCTCTCTGCTGTGGCCTGGGAAAGCAGAAGATGGCCCAAGTCCTTGGGCCCCTGCATCCGCATGGGAGACCAGGAAGAAGCTCCTGGCTCCTGGCTTCGGATTGGCATAGCTCCAGCTGTTGCGGCCATCTGGGGAGTGAACCAACGGACGGAAGACCCTTCTCTCTGTCTCTCCCTTTCACTGTAACTCTACCTCTCAAATAAATAAAATATTAAAAAAAGAGTTACACAGAGAGAGAAGAAGAAGCAGAGAGAGAGAGAGAGTCTTCCATCCACTGGTTCACTCGCCAATTGGCCGCAACGGCCGGAGCTGAGCTGAGCCGAAGCCAGGAGCCAGGAGCCTCCTCTGGGTCTCCTACACGGGTGCAGGGACCCAAGGACTTAGGCCATCCTCTACTGCTTTCCCAGGCCACAGCAGAGAGCTGGATCGGAAGTAGAGCAGCCAGGACTGGAACCAGCATCCGTATGTGATGCTGGCACTGCAGGTGGCAGTTTCACCCGCCATGCCACAGTGCCAGCCCCCATAGCACATTTTTAATCATCTTGAGAATGCTTCTTTCCCAAACTCTACATCAGTTCTGTTAAGATAACAGACAGCTTCGCTACACTGGAACATGTCAAATTTGGTGACAGGATCAATGGAAGGATCACAAGAAAGCCAGAAACTGATGACAGAACTAGCACAAACATGTCACAATCAGATCACATACTCCTATAGTGACATAAGCAGTATGCTTGAATGAGAGAAGGAAAAAAGTTCACGTGCCACAGAGGTGGAAAACTGGGCTCATTGCCTATGCAGGCTGTTTCACAGAAAACCGGGTGTTGGTGGCATGATTCCGCAGGATGAACAAACACAAGAATGGATGGTTACCTGGTTGTTGCCTAAAGGTACAGCTTCAATTCGAGCTCCTCTCCTCACTACCCAGCAGTTTCCAGAAAACTGCTCTCAACAGGCAGCCCGCAAGGGCAGCGGCATACTGACAGAGCCATCCTGATGGAGGTGCCCCTTTCAGGAAAATTTTCCTGTCTTTGTCTTCACCAAATACCTCTCAGGTCACAATTTCTCTTGGGCGGTTTTCACAAACCAGATATGTCACATGATTCAGTGAGAATGTCCAGCACTGAATACTATAGCTTGGATAAGGAAGATTATCATATTTAAGAAGCCTTACATTGCCAGGGTTCAAGAGACTGTGGATTTCTGTGTCCCAATGTTCAAACATCCTTTGTTCGTTCCCTTCCAGGTCAGTCACCATGAACCAGGGCACTCAGCATGCTGCCCCAGCACTGGAGAAGCAAACGCCGTGGAGGCAATCTATCACACTGTCAGAGCCTGCGACTTGACTTGGTACCAACTGCTGTGCAATTCTGCTGAGCAGGAATATCACGAGCTGTTAAATAATGACGGACACATTGGTCCAGGCAAAGTTTCCCGTGAGGAAGTGACAGTGCAATGTGGATATTTATGGCCATAAAATAGGAGGAACTTGAGTTCCCAGGCTGAACCTGCGTCTGCTGGAGCCATTTCAACAAGGCATCTTAGCAACAAAGAAGAGATGTGATTTGGTTCCATTTCACATCAGCAGGTGTCTGTACAAAAACATCAATGCGAATAAAGGGCCAAGTGCAGTCCTATCTATCTGGATTAAATTTATTAATATTAAATAACAGTATGGGTGGTATTGTTTTAAACCTGACACAACCAAGTCTCCTTCAAATAGCTTCCCTCACCTATCCAGAGCCAAGGTTTTTTTTAACAGTAATTTTTCTTCCTGGGATGGGAGAACCCTAATGAACTGAATCAATGTTTGTTTTTCAATTGTTCTATCTGGTATTTTGTAATTATACTAGAAATGACAGGATCTGTTTTTGTCTGGAAGCAGATGTTATGATGTAATTCCATTGCATGGTTCAGGTTAAAAGCTAGTCTGCATACAAAAAGAATATGACAGCTGTGAAGGAAACTATTTTGGGTGCAAGAATTTTAGCAGTTATCCAGGAAGAATCTAGGAATGAAGCTGCAATGTCAAATCCACTCACCTCAAAACCTTAACAATCTGAAGATGCCAACGTGCAGTCCCTTTTTCAGGGTTTTACACTCAAAGCTGCAGCAGTCACCAGCAGAGGCCATGATTTAAGTATTTTTTTAACTTTAAAGGTGTATTAAAAAAAATCTCAAAAATCTTTTGCCATGAGTTTTGAAGACTATTTTAAAACTGAATTTCTTTAAGCATTTAAATCAGGAGTCAGCAAAAACTTTCCCCTGAAATAGACCAGAAAGTAAACAGGTTAGGCTTTATGGGCCCTGTGATCTCTGTGGTAACTCCTCAGCCCCTTGGTGTAGCATGATAGCCACCACAGACGATATGCAAATGAATGAGCCTAGTGTATGTCAGTAAGATGTTAATTTACAAAAAATAGGCAGTGGGCTGGATTTGGTGCAGGGGCCGGCTGCAGTTTGCCAACCCCTGGTCTAAAGGACGCTGAAGAGGAACAGCTTCTGTACAGAAAAGCGCCTCTCACTGGGGGGAAAAAAACAGACTAGGAATAGGATCAGAAAGTACGAAACAAAATGAGCTCAGCGTTAATCTTTTTATTTTGAGTTTTATAAAAAAACAAAACAAAACAAAAACAAGGCTTCAAGAAAACATGTTAAATATCAGTAAAGGGCTGGGAAACATGTGGCTAGCTGTACAATAGCAATCTAAACATAGACACAAGGCAAACATTAAGTAAAATGCTAGGGGAAAGATAGCACTTTGGGGGCCTACTGCAGTTTTCCTTATTGCACATAAAAGTTGCAGATGATTCCAAGTCTTCAATTTTTCACAGTTACAACATACTTAACGTCGTTTTATATAACATGTTTATTTATATAACATGCTATAATGTTAATTGTATAAAAACCACCAGTTTGCTACTGCTGAGTGGAAATAAAAGAAAAAATCCCTCCCCCCAAATTACCGTATGTATGCTCTCTATAAAAAGTTCCCCAGAAGGTCACATCATTCCATGTTAAATTTACCCTATTCTATTTTTAAAAATTGCATTTCAGCTAGTAAATGAATCTTGGTGACCTTCCCATTGAATCATTTTAATGGGCATAGTAAATCTTCCCAAGTAAGAAGTACCAGACATATTTATTTATGTAAAAATGAAAAAAAGACAGGAGGAGCTGACCCTACTCACACTGTGAATGAGTGATTTCAGTGGTACATCCCAAACCCATAGACTTAACACCCACATAAGCGAAAAGCATTCCTCTGCTTCTCCAAAGCCCACAGCTGGAACAATCACAATGACAGTCAGCCCCCAAATGTCCAGTCGGTCACCCAATAGCACCTGCATCCTGACTATTTAAAAAGTGCTTTGAGATATCAGATGTGGATTTCTGCAGACTGTCTACAAGTCCTTTTTTATCTGAGTTTCTCTGACACATACAGGCTCAGACAATTTTTCCACAGGCCAAGAGTTGAACATGACATTGGTCATTCTGTTAAAGCCTTTCTCAAGGTGGCCATGGGAATGAGAGGGTGACCTCTGCTGTGTGCTCTCATATCTGCCTCAGGCCTTTTTAAATGGAGGTGGTGCAGCAGGCAGACTTTCCTTCTCATCTTCTCCAAGGCTTGAGTGGCAGAAAACTCACTGCCTGTGGTTCCATATGGGCCATGGTCATAGTACAAATATACCCTGCTTATGAAAAGGAAACTAACATTGAAACTTTGGTTTTGTTCTTTACAATTTTTGCTAGCACTGGGTGACAAGGCATTTTTATTAATTTTAAAATGTTCTAGAAATCAAGATTGGGGGGAAAGGGTCTATTTCTAGATCTTGTTTTGAAAGGACTGTCAAAGAGTCTACTTGCTTTTCCTGGTTAGACACTAGTATTGATTTCGACAGTATTTTCTCTATATGTTGCTCTCATTAGTCTTTAAATACAGATAAAGTCCTTTCAGGTATCAAAGTGATAAAAGCAGCATTCAGATGGGTTGTTTCTAACCATAACTCTTGGCCACTAGATTCCTTCAACTGCATCAGAATGCAATAACTGACACTGGCAAGGCAGATTCTCCCTTAAAGAGACCATAACTCAATGATCCCAGTCTAACCTATTGGCCAAACTTGTTCCTATACTAACTAATCTATAGAACCAACATCAAAAGGCGGGCGTGAAACTTGTCAAGCTCCCCACTTCCGAAGTGGAATAAGAAGTCAGATACTCATTGGGTCAGCAAGCTTACTTGCCAGGAGCCCTCATTCCAGCTTATATTTATAGCAGAGGTTGGAATCAGCCCCCTGATACACCTTTTAGAACTCTCAGTGGGTACACAATACGATTGCAAGTGGATGATTTTCACCTCTGATGAGTCACTCAACTACCCTAAGGCTCATCTTCCCTAAGTGCATCAGTGGGTGGTGGTTCTACATTTGGAAATCACAGGTTCACATTAAAAATCTGACATGATTACATTAACTTCCACTGAAGACAGAAACAGAGAGAGATGGTGAGGGGGTGACATGGAAATAGACCTCTATTTTGGAAGAAAGTTAGTTCATTGCCCAGGACTGAGATGTCCATGAATAGCTAAGGTCTTGCATGTTTTCTAAAGGGATGTCATTGGCCAACCAAATCACAGAGGACATTTTTGGGGCTAGAGAACACAGCCTAAATTTAGAGCTCCTTGTTGTCTGCTCGATGAGACGTTTGATATCACAGTGTGATTTTTGGCTTCAAGGCATCAATGCTTATCTATATGGTCACCCCAGTGAGTACTCTAGATTATTAGAGTCTGTATGCCTTTCCTGGGCTTGTTTCCTCGGAAGAAATGCAGCCTCATTTAAACCTCAAAGTTCCTTCTCTAGGAAAATTGAGGCTTCCTGAAAGTTACCAAAAAGTGTATGAAAAAGCAATGGCAGGAGGCTTCACCCTAAAGTTTGCATCTTCTTAATTATCTGCTAGTGCTACCATATGACAGCAAAATGCGCACAGTCTTCCACTCTGCTCTAGCAGTACATGCGCCCACCCTTATTCTGATGAATCCAATGCAGATTCAGGCATGGGGACAAGTCAACGAAAGTTTAAATGCATAGGGGACTATTAATTTCATTCCAGATTAAATTTCAAAGACAATTTCCCAGAGTACTTTTGGTATATAATTAGCAGCTCAGTTAAGATAAAAATCCCCCTTTCTTTCCCATAAATGGGAATGAAGATTTCAGGTTTTAAATCCTACCTCTACATAAGTCACCTTGTCTGTCTTGAGGCTCTAAGGTTTACAAAAGTGACCTTTTTAGTAGCACTGTATGGAATACATTCTTGGGTTCTGCAAAGGCTAGCATGAAGTGCTCACAGCAGCGTAGACTGTCTTATGAATCCATACTCAGTTTTTTCTACAGGGCTAGAAATCTAAGAGAAACCTTACCTGGCTAGACCACTCTTAAATAAGGTTCTCATTAGCTCTAGGCTAATGGCTTTCTACTCCTGATGTTCCAGCATAAAGTATAGATGTCAGGTCCCACCACAAAAGTTACTGAATCCAAATCTCTGAGGATATGGCCCTTACTCTTGGGGGCGGGGCGTGGGGGAGGACTAGCCAAGTGACCCGACTATACAACCAATTGGATGTTCTCTGCTCCAGCACATCTGACTGCTGAACTGTTGCCTCCCTCAACTTGGATGAACAAGTATGTATATAAGATGATTTGAGTTTACTCAATCATCACCCAGCAGTTTCAATTTGGTCTTTTGTCAAACTGACAGCACATGGCCCTGAACTGGATGGTTTCTGGGCTTTGTGATCCCCTACTTGTCTCCATGCAGCCTAGGCATAATGCTTCTAGAAAATGGAACCATTTTCATGAAGGAATTCACCTTCCTAGGACCCCTGGTAAGGTCAAAGTCATTCTCCACATCTTGCAAACAAAAATTAGGACAAGAGTTCGAAGTGACTTACTTTGACCCACGGAATAAATGACCCAATAATTAATTACAGCCATAGTTTTGGCCTTGACCAGTCTCTATTTGCTTATATTTAAATTAATCAGAATAAAATGTTTGCAGTGAAGACCACAAGACCCTTTGGGGGAAAACACAATAATCTATGGATTGACCTAAGACGAGAATGGGACACTGTCATTATTTTTCTTCCCCAAGAAGGTGATTTTTTATAATCTGCTGAAAGCTTCCTATAAAACCAAAATGACACCAAGGCTTTGAGATGAATGAAGATGGTGACCCTACCAGGATGGCTCTTTGCAAGAACCATCTCCAGGGCTTTCCTGCTAGCTTTGCCCTCCAAAACTAATAACGTAAGAGATATGCAAGGTTATAATTTATAGAGAGCCAAATAGCTTATCCCTCCAGCTCTGCACGCAAGCAAGCCTCACCTTTTAAGTGGATGGCATGACTGGTTATTTCTGAGATAATTCAAGGAAAACTCTTGTGCTGGCTCTGGCCTGGGCACTCACACACATTTGTAGCCTCCTGCCAAGCCTGGTAGCTACTGTCTACAGTCTGTTCCTAAGAAACAAGAGCTTCCCTTCCTGGTGCTAAGAAAAGTTCTTTCTCTGGCTTTGGCCCTTAGATCTTCTTAAATCCTTCACTAACCCTATAACCATGATGCAACATGGCTTAGGTATGTTGTTTAGCTATTTTCAAATTTACAAAGCCCACACATATGGCCATAAACTCAAAATGAACTTAACATAGAAAGAGTGAATAAAATCTATCCAGTTGTGTTATACTGAACCATAGGAAATTGCCATTCCTGACTTCCAAAAATAGGTTGACTATCAGTAATTTCATATGGCTCAACCTAATTAAATATATCTTTCCTGATCTGCACAAATGATCAGTTCAAACACAAAATTGTAAAGCAATGTCTTATTTAAAAAGGAACCATTACAAATGTGAGTTAAGAAGGTTAAAGGACGGGTTTCATCACAGGCATACTGGACTGAGAAAACTATTTTATCTGGCGTAAGGAGAAAAACGCCCACATGTTATGAAAGCATGTTGTAGAAATTGTGTTGCCAAAAATGCTAGCATTTAAGCACAGAGACATGGAGGAAAACCTCAGAATTTTCCCAAGAATTCTTTCAGTATTTCACCTGCTACAGGTGTGGGCAGGTGGAATAGTTCACCCAGAAAGACCCAAAGTAAAAATCTAAGTTTCAAACCATTGCCACACATTAAGCTGATGAAACCGCTTCCTCAGATGCCAAGAAAATGATCTTTCTCTTTTTGGCAACTCAGCGTCGTAAAGATACCCGGATCCTTAATCTTCTAGATGATAGAATCTTCCACTGGGTTGAATAATGCTTAAAGTTCCATTGACTTGTGTCTGGTTCCTCAGGTGGCCGTGAATGTCAGCTCAAAGTTTGGGATCTGACTCAGTCTTTGGACTACTCTCTTGTATTTTCTTATTTTCTTTTTGTTTTTTCTTTTTCTTTTCTTTTTTTTTTTTTGCACTGAGATTACTCTTTCCCTCTGAATACTAGTTGATTGCCTTTTAGGTTTTTTGTTGACTTCTCCTTTCCAGATAAAAGCATCCTACACATTTTGGTGTTATTTTGAAATCCCAGTAGACACTTCAGTCCTAGTAATCATTTCCCAGGCAGTAGCTGTCAAAAGTTGAGTGAGTTTTGTAATGACATCATCATCAGTTTTTAAATACCTCCTTGTCCTCAGATTAATTAAAACAAAAACAGTGTGATGCTATTTGCCTTTGGTTTTAAACATTTCAATAACTTTTTCTTTATGGAAATTTCTAGATAAAGAATTATAATTCTTTCCCTCATGTTGGATGTTCATGGATATATATTCTCTTCAGTCTAGAAGAAACACAAGTAACAGAAAAAGTCAAGAATCTTGATATGAATGAGGATGTAGTCATGTGGCCTTCGTCGCTGGCATCTCCACTCAAATTGCTTTTCCATGTTTTCTGTCCCATGTAACACCAGATTTCCATCGTCCTACAGGGTCCAATTTTATATGCCTTCCTTTGCAATCTTTCTTCTAGCCTGTTCTCCCCTAACTTGCTATTCTTAGTGCCAGCTAGCCTAGCACTGCTGTGTCTGGAGATGACGTCTCTGAGGGAGGAGTCCCCAACGCCTGCCCCACCTTCTTCAGATGCTGCAGGCGAATGAACTGAGAGACCATTAAAGCATGCTATGTTTGTGTTTAACTCTGAAACAGCGCACTACTAGGTAAAAAAGTAGGAATAGGGCTGTGTTTGTCTTAATTTAGAGACACTTTAGCTTCACCATCTGTGTCTTGGGATGAATTTGAAGTAAGATAGTTTCAGACCCCAGTAAAAACAGAAGCGTTATTTCTATCCAGTCAATGCCTCAACCTCAAACACCACAGGAGCTTGTGGCCATCCTCACCCCACTAGGGGCTTACCCCATTGCTTCCAGGTTTGGGGGAATGTCACGCATTATCCCCCATTGGAAACACCAGGCGGGTGCCCCGGCTCGAAACCTTCTGGTCACCCATTCCCAGGTCTCGCTCCAGCACTTCCTCAGAGCTGCTCTTTGTTCTCCGGCCCTCCAGACTTGTAGAGGCTGTGTGGGAGCCTGAGGAGCCGTTCGCAGTCACTGTGCTGTCCCCGTAGGTCAAGGTGAGGTCACCCTCGGTCAGGATGAAATCCGAGTCCTCCTCTCTCAGCGGCTCTTGGTTCTGAAAAGTACAACCAACAACAAAAATGGGAGACTGATATCTTCCAGTGTCGGCGCCAACCCCTCATCTGGAAACTGGGGCTGGTGAAATCTGTCTTGAGCCACTAGCATGGTATCTAGATGATACCATGATGAACTGTAGAGTTCGGGGCAAGGCACCCTTGCCAGGACATAAAATATAAGCAAGAGTTCTGCTAATGTGCCCGGGAAAGCAACAGAAAATGGCCCATGTATTTGGGCCCCTGACACCCAAAGAGACCCAGATGAAGTTCCATGCTCCTGGCTTAGCCCTGGCTCATCCCTGGCAGTTGCAGCCATTTGGAGAGTGAACCAGCAGATGGAAGCTCTCTCGCTTGCGCTCTCTCTCTCTCTCTCTCTCACTGCCTTTCAAGTAAAATAAATAAATCTTTAAAAAATGATTTAAAATATCTGACTGCTCCTTGTTAGTGACAAAGGAAGAAGCAAGACCAGTCTGGAGTTCCAGCTTCCTGTCCCGCAAAGCAAGGAAGGCATCAGGTCACTGGGCAAATGCTGCCAGTTGGCTTTAGGGACTGTCTTTCCTGAGTGAATCTCCTGGGCCAGCCCAGTACCTACACACACCATCCTGAACGGCATTTACATGTCAATTGAAGGAGGAAGGCAAGCCATAATTAGGACTTCCTCTGTTTCCCTCTGCTGTCCCCCAAACCCTGACAGGAAGCCTTCTCCATGTGGATGAAACAAGTGAGAGGGCAAGTACCTTTTAATTGAGCACCTATTATATGCCTGCCAGGATTTCAGAGTTCTCGCTTGATCCGCAGCCCTCCCCCATGAAGGGTGTGAACACACATCTGGAGGACTTGAAACCTGAACTAAGAGAATGTGTGGGATGTGATTGAAATCCCCCAGTGGCTGAGAGGCAGAGTTAGAACGCGTGCTGCCTCTGGGCTGGTTTTCCCCACAGAAGGGCTACGCACAATCACTGGGTCAGGACAAGGACTGGAATGGTGTTCTCACACTAGGCAGTGGTTACGGTAAACAGACGAGGCATCAGCAATGTGAAAGCCACTTGAAACTACGACACGGTGGGCAGAGTGTTAGGAAGCAGCGGGAGGCCAGACAGAACCTTCCGCCCTCCAGTGAGTTTAGCCAGCGAACCAAGGGAGGGCTGCCACCTCACGCCCCTGCTGCACTGACTTGTGCCACCCACTGTGAACCTCTTTTCTCCAAAGGCAAACACATAGTGTCAAAACACTATAGTGTCTCCTGTCAACTCCGCAAAGCTCATCAGAAGTCCTGTACCTCTACACACAGAGGCCTCAGGGCCTCTGCTTAGCCCATGGCCTGCTGCCACAATTTCCCACAATCCGTGCCTTGGCTCCCCAGCAAGATGACAAACCACCACAGGGCAGTGGCTCTCTCCTCTCCCAGGCGTCCTCGTAGTAAATGCACATGGGGAGGGAGGATTCCTGAGCTGGGTTTCCCTGATTTTTCCTCTCGTGGCCCATCTCTGTGCTCTTCCCGTGACAAGCACATGCTTGTTTTCTGCATTGTTTCTCAGTGATGTCGACTGCTCCACAAGCAATCCACAGTGTGACTCTGCTTAACCAGTGCTCCAGCATTCTTAGCAGACAACACACACAAGCCCTCTCCCTGTATACCTCACATCTCCCCGCTGGAACGCGGCCAAGGGGCAGGTGCACAGCGAAATAAAGGCCCTGTACTCACACAGGTAGAGCACAATTTTACAACTCACCCCTCACTCCCAAACTGCCTTCTCTTCGTGAGTGTTTCGAGAGGCCTCAAACGCCATGTGCACCGTGACAGTTTCCTTAACAATAGATGACATGATGTGCCCCATCCCATCTGAGTTTCCAACTCCCGCACGTGCTCCTTCCCTGTCCTAGCACGCCCCAGTTCCCCTGTTCAGACATGTGCTAAGTTATCTTTTCGTTCATCTCGGTCAAGATATCGCTTGCAGCGCTCTTAGCTCCTCATTTTCAGGGAGACAGTCCTGGCACGTAAAATACTGCTTCAAGGTTTGGAGCCATCGAGGGACAGATGAACACCTGCACGTGAGGGTCATTCTGTCAATGGAAGGAAGCCCACCACCGCACCCTGGGCGTGCCCTCCAGCATGGCCTGCTCTGATTCCTCATAGAGAGCAGCGTGAAATCAATTCACGCCCTTAGATTCTAGATGTGAGGATCACTGGGTCAACACAGGCCGGGTAAGCAGCAGGTCTTCATAATTATATAAGGGTACGTCCAAAGGTTCTTGGAAAATGGAATTACAAGATGTGGTTTCTGATGCAAAAATGTTGAAATCCATGCACAGGTTTTTTTTGCAAAAACAAATTTCCACAAACTTTTTGAATACCCTGCATATGCATCATGGATTTTAAAATGTTTCTGTACCAAAATAAACTTATCTTTACAAAATTCTTAAAATGTATTTGAGAGGGGCGGAAGGGAGGGGTTGACCTTCCCATCCGCTAGTTCACTCCCCAAATGCCCCTAATGGCCCAGGTTATCTGAAGTCCTATACCCTCTAGAGACAGAACCTTCTCCATCTAGGACCCCCTCGTGGGCTGGAACTGAAGCTAGGAGCTGGGAGTGCTATCTGGGCCTCCCACAGGGCGGAAGGAACATGATCACTTAAGCCATCACCACTGCTTCCCAGGGTCTGCATTAGCAGGAGGCTGGAGTTAGGGGCTGGAGCTGAGTACCAAATCCTGGCACTCTGATGTGCGATGTAGCCATCTTAACTGGCATCTCCACTAGGCTAAGTGCCAGTCCTAAGCGTATCTTGTAATTCCATTTTCCATGAATGTTTTAAAGTACCCTTGTGTAACTAGCTTGTGTACAATGCAATGCAATGACCCTGAAAAGCCCCACAGACAATAGTGTGTGGGAATGAGTATATTTTAAATAACCAGAGGTCATTCTAATAAGTGGAAGAACATTACTTTCTAGGTGGCTACTAAACCTAAGTGGCTTAGAGTTGGTAGAAATAATGAATGATGAACATTTCAGCTATCTCCAAATAAACCTGGCAATGTACAAGATGCCCCACAGGTGATGGGTATGAACCACACAAGTGACAGCCAGCCATGGGCACTGCCCAATCTGAGACTCCTGCCCAGCATTCAACTCTGCAGTTGAACCCTTCTACCTCTCTCACATCTGGGTTCTTCCCTCAATCATTTAGAAAAGACCCTTTGCTCCCACATCTCAGCAGCAGGTCTGGAGCCGGTTGAGACCCTGAGTAGGGTTCTAGCTTCCAACAGCAGCAGCAACATCAACGGCAGCATTGAGGGTGGTTCTCAGTTAGCTGTTGGCAGTCCATAGCCCAAACATGATCCCAGAAGCAAACCTTGAGTAGTCTCTTGAACTGGTGAGGGAAGCACTTTAAATCCAAGTGACTATCGGTTTTCTGAGTTTATGTAGAGGTCAGACATATCCAGATATCCCTGATTCTAGGAGCAAGGGACTTGTTAGTAAGCTTCAGATTAGATAAGGTCTTACTAGAGTCTTATAGTGGGTTAGTTGCTTTACAATTACACAGGCATGGAAAGAGACTTTCATTCAGATCCAAGATAGAAAGTTTTACAAATTGTTCAAAAGAGATGAGAGCTAGAAGGCAAAGAATCATGCCAACTTAAGACACAAAAGTGTAATCACTTGGCACTTCATTGGTGGTAGGAGCGGCAGTGTCTCTGATGATGACACATATCCAACTGGCCCATACTGCCATTGGAAACGAAGTCCCAACGGAACAAATCATTCAGCATGTGGGTCAAGACAGCTTCTCTCAAGTAAGCTTAAAGTAGCAGGAGGAGAAATTATAAAGCTAACTTTGCATGCGCTGCTTTATATCTGACAGAAAAGGGAACGATCATCAAGACTTCATGAGCTCTAGAGCCGTATGCAGACTTGGGGCCGGCGCCGTGGCTCACTTGGTTAATTGTCCTCCTGCGGCGCCGGCATCCCATATGGGCGCTGGGTTCTAGTCCCGGTTGCTCCTCTTTCAGTTCAGCTCTCTGCTGTGGCCCGGAAGGGCAGTGGAGGATGGCTCAAGTGCTTGAGCCCCTGTACCCACGTAGGAGACCAGGAGGAAGCACCTGGCTCCTGGCTTCGGATCGGCACAGCGCTACCCGTAGCGGCCATTTGGGGAGTGAACCAGCAGATGGAAAACAGATCTCTCTCTCTCTGTCTATAACTCTACCTGTCAAATAAAAAAAAAAAAGACTTCGTGAGCTCTAGAGCCATATGCAGACTTAACAAGTCCTTTTCTCCAGGATCTAATGGTTGTGTTCATGACAAGATGATCAGGACGGGTAGGAAAATCGGGGAGAAAGGAAGGCCTCCAACCTGTGCTCCTCCTTCCCTATGGGCAGCTGCTGGTTTTCCCCACCTCGCTGTCCTGTAACCACACCAGCAGCTCAACAGTCAGCCCTAAGTCTAAGATGCCCATCAGCATGGGTATTGTTTTAACACCGTGCTGAGTCTATTTCTAGAATTTGAAAATGCATAGAAAGCACCTGACTACAGTAACGTAAACAAACGGTTTACTAAAGGAATCTTTACCTTTGCAAGATGCTTGACAGTTCACAATACATCTTAATGTACCTTACCATCTGAAGTTCACAGCCAGCCTATCCTATCAAGCCCATTTTACAGATTAGAAACCCAAGGCACAGAGCACTTCAATAGTCCATCAGGGCTTACATTCCAGTCTAGTTTCTGATTCCAACTCCAGGATTCTTTCTACTAGACTACAGCTGCCAATGGGGAGCCAGCAACCCAGGGAATAGGTTTCTGCATCACCATGCAATATATAAGCATAGGCAGGCTGGCTATCTCTAATCATCGTATTGCAGAAGCCAAATGTGTGGATTTGGAGGCTTGAGTGCTATGAGGGTTCTTCTTCCATGGTAAGACCCTCCCTGGCCTGGTGAGCAGGCCACTTGACACGCTATACTTACGTCGTACACCTGGGGACTGGTCAGACAGCGAGCTAGCAAGCCACACCAGGCAGGCAGAGTGGTGGTCAGAGGGGGGCCGCTGTGAGTGAGGATGGGCTTCAAGTAACTTTAAGAAACGGGTTAAGGAAAAATGTCTCCAAAGAAATCACACATCTGACAAACCGTGTTTAAAAATACCAAAGAGTAAACCATCCAACACTGTACCCACAAAAAGTATCTTTTCTCCACTTTATAGTACAGTACAGGAAACCCGTGTAATGCACACCAGTCTGAGTCAAAGGTTAAACTCTCCTTTATCAGCCTTAAGTGCTAGCTGTTAACTCCCAGGTGAGTTTTGTCCCAATTTGTAGTGGAAAAGAATTCAAGGGGACTTAAGGAAATTCATGGAAAAATGGAATCAAAGGATAAGTTTATTTTGGTGCAAAAAATGTTTTGAAATCCTCATATAGCTTTTTTTTCATGGTACATGTTTTCCACGAACTTTGTGAAGACCGTTCTGGAGCCATTACTGCGGTGTAGCAGGTAAAGGCCCTGCCTGTGACTCTGGAATCCCATATGAACACCGGTTCAAGTCCCAGTTGCCCCATTTCTGATCCAGCTCCTTGCCGATGCACCTGGGAATGCAGTGGAAGATGGCCCAAGGATTTGGGAGACCAGGAAGAAGCTCCTGGCTCTTGGCTTTAGGGCTGGCCCAACCCCGGCTGTTGTTGCCATTTAGAGAGTGAACCAATGGATAGAAGATCTCTCTCTCTCTGCCTCTAACTCTGCCTTTCAAATGGATGAATAAATCTTTTAAAAAATAAAGAAAGAAAAGAATAGCTTTCAGAGTTGGTGGTTTGGGTTTCAATCAGTATCTCAGCTTTGATACACAACCTGTCCCTGCTTTGCAAACAGGAGAGAGGGGGCCTGTGGCCCTGGGTCCCCTGTGCCCTGCTCTCCGTAAGTATACTTGCTAAAGCCCTCCACAGGGCACACCGTGGAGACGTCCGAGTCAGACAGCACCTCTGAAGTAACCTGGGACTCCTACAAGGGAGGAAATGGAGTCGAGTCTTGGCCCAGTTATTCAGACCTCACTTCCCATACAGGGAGTTCGCTTCCTCACTGCCTGCTACTTCTCTCCCAGACTCTAAGAGATGGTTGTTCAGCCTTCCTGCTGTTGACATTTGGGGCCAGATCAGCCTTTGTTGCAAGGGGCTGTTCTGTGCACAGCAGATGTTGAGCAGCATCCCTGGCTTCTGTCCCCTAGATGCCAGTGGCACCTGTATGCCCCTTCTCAAGTTGTGATGATCACAAATGTCTCCCCACCTCCACCAAAAAAAAGCCGGTCAAATTTCCAACCCCCAGCCCCAAAGCAACTTTGCCCTCATTTGAGACTGCTGCTCTAATATGAAGCTCTCCTGATAGGCAGAGAACACCTGTGTGGGAAGCACCCCTACACTATGATAGAGCTGGGACCAGCTCTGAGACCTTATGCTCTCAGATGGTCACCTCGATACAGAGATGCCAAGAAACTTTCAAAGGAAGGCGAGGGGCCGGCACTGTGGTATAGCGGGTAAAGTTGCTGCCTGCAGTGCTGGTATCCCATATGGGCGCTGGTTCAAGACCTGGCTGCTCCACTTCTGATCCAGCTCTCTGCTATGGCCTGGAAAAGAAGTAAAAGATGGCCCAAGTCCTTGGGCCTCTGCACCTGCATGAGAGACCCAGAAAAAGCTCCTGGCTCCTGGCTCTGGATCAGCCCTGCTTTGGCCATTGTGGCCAATTGGGGAGTGAACTATCGGATGGAAGACCTCTCTCTCTCTCTCTCTGCCTCTCCTTCCCATGTAATTCTATCAAATAAATAAATAAATCTTTAAAAAAATAGTTTATCAAGAGAATTATTGAGTATCTTACTATATAAAGGATCTTTTTTTAATTTCCTTTTTACTATATTCACCAACCTTGGGTTGCAACAATCACAATTTTTCTCCAACATTGATTCCTTAAGTTCTCTTCTAGTGTTGGCATGGTGCTAAACTTTCTGGTATTTAACTGACAAGCAAAAGTTGTATATATTTATCATATTCAAAATGACGTTTTGAGATATGTATACATTATTAATTTTTTTATTTAATTTTTTTGACAGGCAGAGTGGACAGTGAGAGAGAGAGACAGAGAGAAAGGTCCTCCTTTGCCGTTGGTTCACCCTCCAATGGCCGCCGTGGCCGGCGCGCTGCGGCCAGCGCACCGCGCTGATCCGATGGCAGGAGCCAGGTACTTATCCTGGTCTCCCATGGGGTGCAGGGCCCAAGCACTTGGGCCATCCTCCACTGTACTCCTGGGCCACAGCAGAGAGCTGGCCTGGAAGAAGGGCAACCGGGACAGAATCTGGCGCCCCGACCGGGACTAGAACCCGGTGTGCCGGCGCCGCAAGGCGGAGGATTAGCCTAGTGAGCCGCGGCGCCGGCCGAGATACGTATACATTATTAAATGACTTAATAAAGCTACTTAACTTGCATTACTTCACATGGCTGGCATTTTGTGGTGAAAACACTTAAACTCCTCCAGCAATTTTTAAGTATACAATCATTTACATTTACATTTTCTGTATTCTTGCTCATCTGAAAGCCTCCCTCCTTAGTCTCTCATTTTTGATTTACAGTTTAGGTGTAGAATTCTAGGTTCACTTTTTTTTTAATCCTAGAACTTTGTAGACACTGTCCTATTGTATTATAATATCCAATTTTGTCAATGAGAAGTCTGAATCTTGTCCTTTGGAGTTTTCCTTTTTCCCTTTAGAAGTTTTTTTTTTTATTTTAAAGAAAAATTAGAATGTCTTCTTTTTTAAAAAATATATTTATTTATTTGACAGGCTGAGTTACAGAGAAATAGAGGGAGCAATGGAGAGAGAGAGAGAGATCTTCCATCTGCTGGTTCACTCCCCAAATGGCCACAATGGCCAGGTTTGGGCCAGCCAAAGCCAGGAGCCAGGAGCTTCATCCAGGACTCCCACATGGGTACAGGGGCCCAAGTACTTGGGTCATCTTCTACTGCTTTGCCAGGCATATTGGCAGGGAGCTAGATCATAAGTAGAGCATCCAGGATTCAAATTGGTGCCCATATGGGATGCTGGCATCACAGGTGGCAGCTTAACCTGTTACACCACAACGCCAGCTCCCTGCAAGTCTTAAAGTTTCTCAGAAAGTATCCATTCATCTTACACATACTTTCTAGGATCTTGCATTCTGAAAGCAAATGTCTTTCTTAGCTAAGAGAATTTTTCTTCCATTATTTCTTTATTACTTCTTTTCCCCCACAGTCAACATACTTTCAGATCCTGTTAAATGATTTGCACTATGTGGATCTCACTGCTACATCTTGAAACTCTTCTCTTATATATCTCTGACTTTTTGCTCTAATTCTTGGAATTTTTGTTCTCAACTTTATTTTCTAGACCAACAATTGGATTTTCCCCAACGTCCAGTTGTTAAACTATCCATTAAATTTTGAAGTGTTGATTTCAGAAACTTTATTTTTCATTCCCAAGAACTCCCTCTTGTTTGGGTTACTCTTTTTTTCTAATAATCTGCTCTTATGTCATGACTAGAAAAGCTACATACTTAAGTTTCCCAAAGGAGTTTATTACAAAAATTAAAAAGTAAATATTCAAAATTATTTAACTACTTCTACACTCCCCACCATCATGTATTTAATTTGTCAGATCGTCAGGCAGATTGGGGACTCCTCCCTTGGCCAAAGTAGCAGGAATTACCCTGGGGAAAAATATCTTTGGTATTCTCAAGATTCGTTTCTCTACCAAGCTAGCTCCAGGTTCTGTTTCTATTTTCTTTAAAGTTCCAGGGCCTGGAGAGGAAATGAACAGCTACCAGTTGCCCTGCTGCCACAGGAAGTACCTCTTCAGTTGTTCCGGACAACATTCTTGAATAAATCACCTAGACTAGCTGGTCCAAATGGACAAGTTGCCAAAACACATATACTGTATAATTCATTTGGAAAACAGGTAAAACTACTTAAGTATTGTTAGAAATGAAGAGAGTGGTTACATTTGGGAAAAACGAAGAGGAGTAACAGTTACATCCTGCATTTCTTCATTTCTTGGCCAGTCTGATGTTAAAAGACTGTGTTTATTTTTTTTTTTATTTTTTTTTTTGACAGGCAGAGTTAGACAGTGAGAGAGAGAGACAGAGAGAAAGGTCTTCCTTCTCTTGGTTCACCCCCAAATGGCTGCTATAGCCGGCGCCGCGCTGATCCGAAGCCAGGAGCCAGGTGCTTCCTCCTGGTCTCCCATGCGGGTGCAGGCGCCCAACCACTTGGGCCACCCTCCACTGCCTTCCTGGGCCACAGCAGAGAGCTGGACTGGAAGAGGGGCGACCAGGACAGAATTCAGTGCCCCAACTGGGACTAGAACCCGGGGTGCCAGCGCCACAGGCGGAGGATTAGCCTAGTGAGCCGTGGCGCCGGCCAAGACTGTGTTTATTTGTGATAATTCACTGAGCACTTATGATTTGTGTACTTTAATATAAATTTTTAAACATTTTTGAAGACATCAATATCATATATAATAGGCTACCAGCCCATTTTATCGTTATGTCAATTTAAGAAACAACGAGGGTTTAATTTTTTGATTTTTTATTTTCACCTGAGACTAGGCGAATCTACTAGAATAGGTTCTATCCTGCATGCAGCCCAGTTATGTCCGTATCAGATCATGCAAGAGCAGACTTGGCCAAGTTCAAACAGGAATTATCCTCCCCACATGGATTAACTGTCGAAGATCTACTTCCCTTCTTGACTACAGCATGGTTCATTAGGTAATCCTAACTAATTCACCTAGGAAGACACAGGCCCCGTGATCACAAAGCCACAAAGCTCTCAAGAGCCACAGGAGTCTACCAGACTGTGGGTTGGCTACTCCTATGATATGTAAACATTCCTCCTGGCCAGAGAGAGGCTCACCAGCACCATCTGTGCTTGAATGATCAGTGCACATGTCCCAAGAGGGGACTGTCTCCACCTGGCCCAAGCACACTCATCAGAAGTCATTCCTCAACAGCTCAACGAGAGGATTTTATCACCAACATTTCACAAACATGGGGAATGCTGTTGAAAAGGATACTTGTGGTCAAAACTGTACCATAGCCTGAATATCCACGCACTCTCCTGTTTTGTCCGGTTCCCTCCAGCAGAATCTGGACCGTCCTAGGAACAAAGAAGAAGATAATATGATTAGGTGTCGAAAACGAATCTGGAAGAAGGGGAACAAAACTTCTTTTCTAAGCTGTAACTTTTATAGATCTAGAGCTCTAAGTCAAACATGCTGTATCACCAAGATTGCAAAGAATTATTAGAAGGTAATATTTTAGCAGAAATTAAGTAAACCCCAAATGCAGAAAAACCATCCCCAAAGAAAAAAAGATTTGATTGATGCAACCTAGTACAAAATTTCTTCTAGAATTTTTACTGTAATTTTCCACAAAGTGCCTTTTGGAAGGTTAATTACCCTAAGACAGTATAGCTCCTAACAGGTGAGAATTGACTTATAGAGGAAATTAGAGAAAGTTTCCATAAAATCAACTTTCCAGGAGCATGTTTGACCTAGCAGTTGAGACCCCACTTGGACACCTGCATCAAAGTGCTTGGGTTCAAGTTCAATCTCCACTCCAGATTCCAGCTTCCAGCTAATGCAGACACTGGGAGAGAGCAGATGATGGCTCAAGTACTTGGATCCCTACTACCTGCCTGGGAGATCTAGATCGAGTTTTGGGCCCTTGGCTTTAGCTTGGCCTGGGTCTAGCTGTTGTGGACATTTAAGGAGTGAAGCAGCAGAGTGGAGCACACTCTTTCAAACAAATAAAATATATACATAAAATTTTTAAAACCAAATTCCAGTATCCCTACCCCCAATCCTCTAAACTGGCCTAGGGGAACCATACTTTGTTGAGTCTCCTGACCAGTTAGTCAAGGGGTCTCTGTGGTCCTCACCCAGGTACCTACACCATTCTCCAAGAGGTCTGTAACTTGTTTCCCTACCAGCTTTGGAAAGATGGCACCAATAGGCAGGAGAAACAGAGCCAAAATTAGCAATCCTGTTACTTTATCAACCTTCAGGTAGTAAACTCCTTGTCTCTGTCTTGCGCCTTTCTGACTCAAACATCCCCATCATTTAATTTTCAAAATAACCTGCAAAATGAAACATTCATCTGAATATGTTCTGTGCTTGGAAATATGTTCTGTGCTTAGAAATATGTTCTGTGCTTGGTTTAAGAAATCAGCACAATGAATATAAAAACTTGGACTGACTGCAACAATTTGAGGGCAGGCCTGGGGCTCTATGTCACTGGGTAACAGGTTCTGAAAGTACAGACTGCTTGGGAAGTAATTTTAAAACAACATTCTCTTTAAATCCATAGGAGGGAGGCACCTCTGCAAGTGAGGGACAACTGATGATAATCAAATAAAACTAGGACCAAAATGACAAGTAGTTCTCAATCAGCGAATGTAAATTCTACCTGTAACAGCCACCTCAAGGCTTAATCAGAGATCTTTGAGAAGATGAGCATATAGACACTTTGAAAGAGGGCAGTTCGAGCAAGCACTATCAAAGTTCCTGCAGTTCCCAACAGCAAAGATTATTTTTAAAAACTGAGTCCCCAGGGAATATGAAGAATGTTTAGGACATTCTTATATGGAAATGGCTTAGTGAAATAGGCCTTTCTGTGGCTGAGGAAATATAAACAAGGAGAGACCCCAGAGATCAATTTTATTTTACATTTTTATAGATCGCATGGAAGAAAGAGGGCACAGAAATGTTTCCATTTGCTAATCCAATGAGAACTCCAGAAAGATTTCAAAATGCCACTTGACTGAGCAGAAAAGTAATAAATGACCTGACAAATAGCATTATGGGAAAATTAAATGGTTCTTTCAGAGTGATAGGCTCTAAGCTCTCAGTCTGAAGTGCCTGTAGAAATTTACGAAAGAAAAAAATGAGCAAAATGATAAAATATCCTCAGAAGGGATACTATAAACTATTAGAAACAATGCAAGTCCCCTAAAGTCAGATTATTCTACTCCTTCTGAGACAGGGGAGAGAGCAAGAAGATTAGGCAGGAATAGGTGAGCTGGAAGATTTTTTCTCACAATTTCTGCCTGATAACTCTACTTTCTTACCTATCAATCCAGTACGCCCACTTTTGCATGATGCACCTGTGTCTCAGATATCTGACACCAGAAAGGAGAGGGAGCCATGATGGCCAAGCTTGGAAGTCAAGCTCCAAATGGAGATACCATGAAATCTGCAGAAAGCCTCACACACACTAACCCCTACCCAAACTGCATCCCATCTGTATATTCAATTATGCACTGTCCCCTACACCATAAACGGAACTGTTACGTGTGGGAACGCCCCCCCTCCCCCCCCGCCGCCACCTCTCTTTTGTATTTTTGGCTCTGACTCTTGCTTTTGGGTCCTTCTCTGGCCTCCTCCCACACTCTCATAGGCAACTCTCCAGCCCACTCGTGGCTGGTCTATCTCCGTGGGGGAGGGTGGCCCGTGCTCAGGCGTGAATGTGTGCTCACTCTCTCACTTTAAATCAATCCTGCTCTCACTTGTGCACCTTGCTTCTGTTTCTGCTTTGAATTCTTATCTCTGCAGAGGCAAGATCACAGGAGAAAAGTTTAGACACTTATTCCATAAGATTCCTTTTTAAAAATCAACAACAAATACAACCCCTACTCTGTCATCTTCTGCGAAGCCACAATGCACTTCCCATGCCCTGACATTGTTAAGTTCTTTCCATCGTACCCCAAGGAAGCTGCAAGAGAAGTTCAGGTTCCCCCAGCGGGACGATTACAATGAATAAAGCAAAGGAAGGGCTTCTGTTGGATGACAAACTACAAAAGGTCTTCTCAGGCTACAAAGAGATACGCCTGCAACCCACAAACAAGATAAAGTGACCTCCAATTCCACAGCAAATCCCAAAATGTAATCTAACAGGCAGCGCTTCAAGGCTGCAGGGGGTAAATCAGGACACATCAAACCTGTGGCTTTGTTAAAAGGCTGTTAAACAACTTCTTACCCCAAGAGATAGTGCCTGAAGCACAATCCCCGTACAGGAAGAACTTAGATAAATCCCTATGTAGTGGCTTTGGGGAGATCTGGGCAGCTCAGTGGAACAGAACTCATTTTTTTAAACTGACCCGGAAGATGACCAACAAGTGCTTAACCATAAGATTTGGGTTGCTATCACATCGCAAGGGCCCTTCCTATGGACTCCAAATGGCCCAGGGTCGGGCAGGGGTCACTGTAAGGGCCATCTGGGGCCTCCTTCCTGGCTGTACTCAGGGTATCTTAGATTTCTATTTCCATGCTTTCCATGGGAAAAGCAGGGACTTGCTCTCTCGTCACAGCCCTGCGCCAAACCTGCGTTCCCACCAGAAGAGTTTGCACACCATGTCTTTAGCTCAGGCTAATTTCTAGAGCCTAGAACATCCTTTCTTCCTCTCACTTTCTTCTATCCACAACACCTACCTGGTCAGCTCCCATTCATCTATCAAGGCTGGGCACAAGCTTGGCTTCCCTTAAAAATATTTCAAAAAGCAACAGAGCACTCCAAGAGATGTAGGTATGAATACCATAGGCACTCTTGATAGAATACCCAGATCCTGACTGTGCCATTGCCTTTCTGTGTGACTTTGGGCAAGTTAACTAACCTTTCTGTTTCCATGTCTTCATCTGTAAAATGGAGATATTAATATGTAGCCACCTTAAAGGGGCATTGTGGGGCTGTGCTATTCTGAAGTACTTATTTGGTCTTTCTTCTGGTTCCTGGCACAAAATTCCTAAAACCCTTGGAATTTCTCAAGTGATAGGGTGAAAGGAACATCTTTTGTTATCCATAATAAGCCTCTTTCAACCATTCTCTAGTTTTGAGTTTATGTTAATGAGGTGACTCAATGAGGAAGGGGCTGGTTGCCAGGGAAACCAATCATGTGCTTAGAGAGTTGCAACTTTCAGCCCCTTCCCTCAATTTCTGGGGAGGAAAGGGCTAGATGTTGAACTGATCACCAGTGTTCAATGACTCAACCATGCCTACGTAACAGAGTCTCCATAAAAACCCTCAACCACAGCGTTGGGAAAGCTTCCAAGCTGGCAAATAAATGGAGGCATTGGGAGGGTAGCAAGCCCGGAAAAGGGCCTGGCAGCTCCAAACACACCCCCCAATCCGCATCCTTTGCTTCCATTTCACTCTGAGTCGCATTCTTTATAATAAACTGGTAACAGTAAGCAAAGCACTTTCTTAACTTCTGCAAACCATTCTAGCCAATTATGGTACCTGAGGAGGGAGTCATGGGAACCCCAACTCATAGTCAGAAATACAGATCACAAACCAGGACCTGCAACTGGCATGTGAAGCAGATGCAGTCTTGTGGGACTCAGTCCTTAGCTACTGGAATTTGAAGCTAACCCTGTGCAGGTAGTGTCAGAATTGAATTAAACTGTAGGTCACCCATTGGTGACCTGAAAAATCCCCCATACAAGGGTTCTTCAAAAAGTTCATGGAAAAACAGAATGTAAAAATGTTTATTGTGGTGCAAAAATTGTTGAAATCCATGCATACAAGAAGCCTGCAAAAAGTTCATGAAAAATGCACATTGTGAAAAAACTATGCACAGATTTAAAGCATTTTCTGCATCCAAATAAACAACTTTTAAGTCCATTTTCACAAACTTTTTGAGTACTCCTGTGTTTGGTGTTAGAAGTGTTGTGAAAGTTATAGAGAAAAAGAGAGGTTTTGCTTTTTTAGAGCATAAATGATTTGTAGATTTAAAGAACTTGCCACATTGTCTGACATGTGGTAAACACTCAACAAATACTGACTCTCATATTTCTTACTAGCTATGTGACCAATTTCATGCTGCTTAAATATTTGTGAAATATTTAGCACAATATCTGTCACACAGTTCAAGCTCATATTATTAATTCAGTTCATTTCCAAGGACTGGATATGTAATTTCCAGCACATATTTTCTGGGGGAAGAAACACAATATTAACATCATTTAACTATCTTGTGTGGCTTTTTACATGAGGAATTTCTAATCTTTTACTGATATTATTAATTGAGAGACACCTTCAAGAAAATAAATGCCATCAACCCTGCTTATTAGCATTTTTGGCATATGATAATGAGGGTCTATT